TAGCCCAGCCACCAGTAATAACCATCCTACTAATCAAAGCAGCTCCCCTAAAGCATTTAAATGCTAACACTTAGCCAGGCCTCACCATTTTTTCCATTTGAATAGAAAAAGATCAAGCCCCTGCATCAGCCCAGAGAGAAGAACTCCCTAGATCAAAAAGTCTCCTTTCTCTCTGCCCAGAATCTTTCTGGATGAACAAAATTATGTAAAGCACCATACATTGTGGCACCTGCCATTTCTACAGCTTGCCAGGGAGCAACAAAAGTTACGTACTTGATAAGCAGAAAGCTGCCAGAGTGAGGAGCAAGAGAACCCCTGTTATCTTCATGCTGCTGGTGACAATCTGGCCTGTTTCACAGCTGTCAGTGCTCTGTCCTACAAAGGGATTACATATATATGTCTTCTTGATTATGAAATCATTCATGGGAATTGACAAAGAGCAGAGACAGGGTGTAACCCACTGAGTAGTGCCAGCCTGTATGTAACGTTGTTAAAACGTGATCTTGGTAAGTACAGGCAGAAGGCAGGGCAGGGTGGTGCCTGACACCCTGCCTGGCCTTCTGTTTGCCTTTAGCCGCTTCTCTGTAAGTGCAGAGCAAACACAGGAGTCAGTCTGAACTTAATGCTAAGGGAATTGCATTGGATGTTGGATTATCTCCATGTCAAAGATGATCACTGCATTTGCATCGTCCTGCATGTTTATAAACAGTGTCTCAATAGCTTGGGTAATCATGGCCCACCTGTTACTGCCTCAGTGACTCAGCTGTACATGACTCCTCCAAATGGATTTACAGTGGAACAAACTGATTCCCATTGGTCATGTTCTACTGTAGACTTTTGTGTTGAGCTAGATTCCTTTCAGCTTGCGTTACAGTAGCTTTAGTAAGTTTTAAGCTGTGTTAACTTTAAGTTATGCCACGCTAACATAAATGAGACTCAGGGAAGTAGCGTAAAAGGAACTGAGACATATGTGCGAGAAACTTCTTGAAAATATTAACCAGACTTAGGGCATCAAATCTTGATTAAGGTCTCAGGTCGGTGTATTCTAGCCTGATCAGCAGGATAACCATATTTGTCAAAGTTTCTATCAAGTGATGTTGTAATGTTTGAGGTAGGGAATAAGAAGGGGCCCAATGCTCTGAGATATGTTCCTCTAGTATCCTTTGCTGAGGTTTTCATCTGTAGACTTACTAAAGATCCAATGCCTCTTAGAACTTAGTCTTGGATTTGGGTAAAGTCTCCCTACTAGGTTGGCCTTGTGTGAGAAATATGTAGGATTCTAAGATCTAGATATTCTAAGTTGTAAGACTGCTTATTTTTGTCTGGATTATAAAAAAATATATAGATGTGTATTATGTTTTTATTTATGTGCTAGGACTGTTCATAATTGGAGAATGTTAATAAAGATTGCTTCTGCATTCACTCTATTGAAGGACTAGTTTTGCATAAGAACAGGGGCTGTCGAAAGAAAGCCTCTATCCCCAAATTGACTTTAGGGGTCAACACCACACATGCCAGGAAAAGAGGTTAATGATTACATTAAAGCCTTAAATCCTTGAATTTCCTAAGTGGATTTAATTCCATTTGGTGACTGTTAATAAGTGTGATGGAAGAGTCACTTGGCATTTATGTGCAACACCAGACTATTCACTATTTTATATCTGCCTTTATCATGGCTGCTCGTTTTACCCAGATAGCTTACTTAGGGCAGGGCACCAGCTCTGAGTGTTGATATGTTGGGGGAACCAGAATGACAGCGTCTGGGGACCCCATGCAGTGACAAAAGCAGCCAGGGTTTTTGGACCACGTTTGTTGGCTGCCATTCTGGCCATGTTTGACAGAGAGGCCATTGGATGCTCCCTTTCCCTTTTGGTCAAGGCGTTGAAGGCGGGTAGGGTGGTACAACAGCACCTGTGCCTGTGGTGCCATGATTGCTAGTCATGTCTATGTTTGACCCTGCCAACTGTGAACTCCATACAGACTCAACAGTGAAGAACAAGTAGAGAAAGATAGAGGAAATTTTTGCTCTGTTTTGGTGCCTTTAGGTATATCTTAATTTATATGTTCTGAATTTCATGAATTTTAAAGCCCAACTTTTTCTAAAGTACTAATAGTTTGTGATCAGTGCACATTCCCATAAAAAGCAATTCACAAAAGGTGGGATGTTACAACATCCCATACAAAAGGTGGGGGTCAGACTTGATGATCTGCTCAGGTCCCTTCCGACCCTATCAACTATGAAACTATGAAACAACAATAGGAACTGGCACATCAATCAGGTTTTGTTCTGGAAAAGCCTCAATGGGGCGTATCTTTCTTTGAATCCCCATTTACAGGGGTAAGTATTTCTTGCTATGATCCTTCTCGGCTGCTAACATATCTCGCCATTAGGCAATGTTAGCAAAACTTGAGAGAAAATGGAGTTACTTGTTTCTAAACAGTATTCAGTTAAGCCTAAGACACATGACAACATCCCAAGATGTTAAATTGCAGCCTGACAGAATACAGAGAGTTTCCTTGACACTTTGGTATGAGGAACCCTCTTAATTTGCTTATGTCTTGTTGCCTAATCGTTGTGCCTACTGTGTCCTGGAGTGTACTGCCTGATGCAACCAAAATCTCCATCCAGCTGTCCTCACAGAAAAATACAGATACTCTGATTTGCTCACTCTTTTGAATTTGGGATGATGTGAGGTTTTTACAGGGAGAGAAGATGGCAGGAGAATTGAACCTGCAGTTTTATCTAGGGGTTTTCTCTAAACAATGTTTTAAGGGTTTGGATACTTACGTTTCCCTAGTAAGAATTCCGGAGGTCTGTCACATTGCATTGGATCCCCTTTAGTGACAATTCTCTCACTGCTAAGGCTCACTAAGGCTTACTGTGAAGGCTAACTTACTAAAGCTACTGCTATTAGCTAATGCATCAGAATTAAATTAATGTTCATTTTCTTAACGTTAGCCTTTTTGAGTAGTTAGATATCATTCAGAAAGAAGGATACAACACTGATGGGAAATTTGGGTTTACTGCTTAACTGAATCCACAGGGTCATCTGAAGTTCTAAAATTTCCTGCTTTTTGAAATGTAAATGTTAAAACTGCAGGAGAAAAAGCCCTCATAAACAATATGAGAGACTGGAGAGTTTTCACTTTCCAAAACAAAATCTTAGTCTTTACCAGTGACCACTAAAGTGCATTCACTACAGCCCAATTCAGTAAGATACTTAAATGCCATGTCTGTATAATTTTAAGTGAAAGAGAATGCTTGCTTATGTCAATGCTAATATTGAAGCATGCAAACAAAGCTTCATCTGAGCTTTTCTTCAAGACCTAAATCTACTTCACGGTTAGGGCGGCTAGGAGCTGGAACCAACTTCCAAGGGAAGTGGTGCTGGCCCCTACCCTGGGGGTCTTTAAGAAGAGGCTGGATGCCCACCTAGCTGGACTCGTTTGAGTCCCATTTCTCTTTTTGGGGTTTTTGTTGTTCTCCCGCCCTGGCGGGGGGTCGGGCTAGAAGATCTACTAGGTCCCTTCCGACCCTTAATCTATGAATCTATGAATCTATGAAAACCTTGCACAGACTTTAGCATTTTCTGTAACATGCTTCATATATAGCTGATCTCATAGATGATAGTCATTTAGATTAAATATTTCTAGCTGTGTAAATAGTAGCTAGTTAAAATATTACAATTAAAAAAATAGAAAGCTATGAGAGGTCTTACAGTGGGATAATTCTCTGAGGTCCTTAGCCACTTAGAACAATATCTTTTGCAGATAAATGAACGTTCAGATATATTTAATAATATTTAATATGACTTCTAAGGAGAATATCAATATGTATCATTATCATTCCTATAGCTGACCTGTTCTATTTGCTTTAGATTCAAATTCCGGCTTGATTGAAATCAACAGAGATTTGCAACTGTCTTGACTGAGGCAAGCATTTCTTCCTAAAAACAGTTTTGAACATACACATCTATGATACAGCTATATACTTCACTAGAGTACCTTCCCTACCTTCTCATCCCTTTAGATTGATTTATAATTTCAAGCAAATGAGAAGTCCCACTGAAGTCAATGCCAGTATAAGCAGCCAGCAAATATTCAAATTATTCATGTAAAAGTTCATGGGAGCTTTTTTGAAAGACCTTGCAAAGACCAGCTGAGATACAAATAATCTCTCAGTGTCTAAAATTTTCTTCACTGAATTTGACATGTCTATATAATGTATATTTTCATGAAAGTGGCAGAGGGCACTTCATGGCTGGGCATATTGGTCCTCACTCACTGCAACTCAAATCTGTCCAATAATTGCTAAATCTTAATTTATCAAAATTACTTTTGTTTCACAAGGGAGGATGCTACCTTCCTGCATTCCAGAAGGAATCCACAGGCAGGAATGTTTCCTGCCCTTGTGATTGCATGCTTTTAAATGAGGATAGCCAGTAATGTAAAGAGATGCTATGCATGCTCAAACAAAAATTTACGCCTTCATCGCACACAAACTTGGACTGAAATAGCAAGTCAGTCATTTTATTTCAATGTGGTTCTGCGTGCACCCAGACAGCAATACATGAATTATCAACAAAGCTGTACAAAAACATGAAAGAAGGTATGAATGAAAACCATTTAGTTATTTAGGTACATGTTTGTATATAGAGCCAACGTCCAGGCTGCTGCAATTTGTTGTATATGGGTAGATGCTGTGTCCACCCACATACAATTAATATATCATAGTGTCAAATAGCAAAACCTTGCTCAACAAAAGGAATGGCCTGCAAATCCCAATTATGTATTTCCTAAGAAACATGTCTATGCCTAATCACTTGCCTAAAGGAAGACGAGTTCTGCTGGCTTTCACACCCTTGGGAGGAGGATGAAAGGTGCTCTTCCTTGTGACTGTAGAGATCAAGCCAAAGGACAAAGCAAGAGACGATTCTATTGATGTAATAGAAATAATAGAAAAGTAGGGCTGGAAGAGATCTGAGGCGGTCATCTAGTTCAACCAGAAGCTCAAGGAAGGATCAGTCTTGATTAAGCCATCCCAGCTGAGTATCTATCTAATCTGCTCTTAAAAACTTCCAAGAATATAGATTCCACAACCTCTCTGGGTAGCCCATTCCAATGCTTAACTACCCTCATACTGAGAAACTTTGTCTTACTATCTAATCTAAATTTCCCTTGTTACAATGTAAGATTATGGTTCCTTGTGCTGTTCTTTGTGGCCACAGAGAATAGTCTGTCTCCATCCGCTTTATAACCAGCCTTGAAGACAGTTATCAAATCTCACCTCAATTTTCATTTCTCCAAACTAAATTCCTAGTTCTATCAGCCTGTTCTCCTACATCATGTTTCACAGGCCTTTGATCATTTTTGGTGCTGTTTGCTGGACTCTGATTTGTTAACATATTTAGAATTATAGAATCGTAGAAAATTAGGGCTGGAAGGGACCTCAGGAGGTCACATCTAGTCCAATCCCCTGCTCAAAGCAGGATCATTCCCAACTAAATCATCCCAGCCAAGGCTTTGTCTACCCAGTAGGGCTGTGCAAAGCTTCAGTTGCTGATTCGATTTGGAGGAGATTCAGCCCTATTCAGCAGCTGAATCTCCAAATCTGAATCAGATTAGGAGACCAGTTAATCTCTTTAAATTGAATTGGTAGCCTCTGAATCGATTCAGAGAGATTTGATGATTCGGGCATAGACACAGCTTTATATATTTTTTCTACATACCTCATGGTACCAGGTGTGGCTCGTGAACGCTGAGATAGTGGGGGGGATGGAGCATCTTATGGCTCAGCAACTGGTGCTTCCTGGCTCTGGGCGAACACCTGGGGTTCCCCCTGTGGCTGATCACTGAGCCAGGGGGATGTGGAGGGGGGGATCCCCTATGCACTTGGCAGTGGACCCGGAAGTAGACTGGAAGTATGTCTGATCCACTTCTGGGTCTGCTGCTGAGCACACTATCCAGTCATTCCCCAGTCTGTATTTGTGGATGCTACTGTTTTATCCCAGCTACAGGACTTGGATCTTGTCCTTGTTTAATAGCATTCAATTGATTTTGTACTGTATCTTATCAAGGTCATTCTAAATCCTAACTCTATTCCCCACAGTGCCTGCAACTCCATCAAGTTTGGTTGTTCTACAGATGTAGTTGGCTCCACAGCTGCAGCAAAATCAGCTGCAAAGACAAGAGTTGACCTTGTGATTTTTTGTATTTTTTGATTTTCTAAAAATTAAACGCTATGCTGAAAATACTTTATGTTGTGCTGCTACCAAGGTGCTCCTTTAAATTTACTTAGTTATAGTAGTGCAAGACTCTTCAAAAATAGGATCTGATGAAGTATGTCTTGCATTTGAAAGATTGTCTAATTTATCCCAGTTACATAGTTGGTCCAATAAAATATATCACCCTAAGAAATCCTTGCCTCTTGCATTACTTATAATATTCAAGCTTCTGTAACCACTAACACACATTTCCATATGCAACCTGGAACTGAACCCAGCATTCCCCATCTATATATTCCATTGCCTTTTAGCACACTAGAGTGAAAGCTACTGATAAAATCTGTCTTCTTTAGAGTTAGTGTCTGATGCACATAGGAGATAAAAGACTAATAATGTTCCCAATTAGTATCTTATTAAATATACTAGCTGTTTGGGAAGCTTTCAGATAGGGTGGTGCTGCATACCATAGAAAGCCCCGAAGGAAATTAATAATCTTGTTTTTAGTGCAGGGTTTGGAAGGTGTGGTGACTACAGCATAGTGCATCTTCCATGATGAGGATAAATGGAAATATAGACTACCTGCCCATTCAGGTGAGTATCTAAATTAGAATTATTTTGGCTGTTGAGCTGATCAACAAGGGTAAGAGTAATGAGAGGTACATGTTACCGGTGTTAAATTCTATTCTTTGGCATTTTTGTTCACAGCTCTCTTCTCAGACTGAAAAGAGCATCCATGAGACATTGGAGATTATAATATAAATTATATAACTGATCTTCAGAGGTGCTGGGCATGAACAATACACAAGGACCTCCAGGTACTGAGAAATTCTGAAAATCAGGTTCATCATATGAATAGCATTTTTAGGGTCCTTATTAACATATGGAGGTGGTGGTATGCTCAAGTTGTGCTGAAGTGCCTTGTTATATGAACAGTCAGTGAAAGAACCTTTTCTGAAGGGTCTAAAATAATGATATTCCTCACAACCAGCTATTCAGTGTCTCATGCTGCTTGCAGGTATCTTGTAGTGCTTAACCCACTGTTTAATTCCTAGTACTGGATCATAACAGTGCATGTGTGAAGTCTATCAGTAGTTTAATGGTATTGCATCTGTCTGGAACCTGCAAATTCCAGTTCATGATCTCCAGGGGTGAAATCTGGCCCAATAAAAGTCAGTGGGAATTTTGCAATTGGCTTCAGTGGAGCCAGTTTACCTCCAGGTATCTGAAGAACAGGACAGTCCAATCAGCAGTGAAGCAGTTGTACAAATTTGAAAAACAGGAAACCTCAAATACCTCAAGATCTGTATTAGCCCAGTTTCAGTTACAAATCTTCTGACCACAGAGGTCAATGAATTTCAGTGCAGACTGAGAACAAGAAAAATTCACTAATAATTTCTTAGGGTTTGGCATAGGTCTTAGATGAAGGATGCTGACTATCAGAAGTTACTGGGCAGTGTAGCTTCATATGGTTTTTAAGTACAAATAGGCCTTTGACCCAGTAGAAAAACTAAAGCTGTCTTGAAAGCAATAATAATGAAAGATATTCTGTTATACTAGTACATATGTGGTACGAGTTATCTAGGCTAAAAGACAAACACTTTTTCTTTTTCTTTCTGAATACAGTTTATTAGTTCATTTGTAGAACAATTTAAAAGCAGATCTTATATTTAAAACAAAAGCAAAATAGATACATAATTTCAACCTCAATAACTATCAGTGGTACATATTAGCAGTACGTTTCTGAAATACCAGATACATCCTGTTTTAAGTTTTAAATAGCTTAATTCCCATTTCTATTTAATTCTATTTAAATAAGGTTTAAATAGCTTAATTCCCATTTCTAATGTAGAAAACAAATTAAGCATGTGCACAATGAGAACCTTTTTTGACTCCAACAGACTTTGGAACAAGCCTTAAGGCCCAGAATCCCAAAGGTATTTAGGAGTCAATAGGAAGTTAGACACTTACATAACTTTGAGCCTACGAAGGTGACCTTGAACACATACTTCTGGTTTTTTTTCTAAATTAGAGTCTTACTCTGTAAGCAATTTGGTGTTGGACCAGATGTTCCCTGGAGTTCTGTAAAAGAGCTAAACACACCCTGGGGTGCTAACAAGATAATATATAAATAAACTGCAAAAAATAATCTTCTAAAAATCTTTAAATATAGATCAGACATTTAATGTCTGCCTTTGAAATCTGTTTAGCTATATCTCTGTAAAAAACCACAGACCATTTAGGACCTGAGCCAGTGCCCAAACTCTCACTGCTTCTAATGGGAGCTGATCCAGCTCCCACTGGAATTTGGTTAGTATTTCAATGGTGGTAGCTGCAGAATGCAACAGCTATTTATTGTTTTCTCCACACAGGCATCAACATGATGTAAGCAAATATATAACGCAGCTGACAAAATGCAGCAGGTAAAAATTAGCTTCTCAAGCCTCTGTTTCACTTTTTAATTGCCATCAGTTTGGATGATGGGTATAGCCTTGAAATACAACACACAGCTGCTTCACGCAGCCAAGGATTTCCATGCTCACGCATTTTTAAAATGTTAAATATATAAATAGGCATTATAAATAATAAATAGATAAATTATGTCTTCTCATAATAAGTTACCTTCTCTCTAAATTAACACACAAAGCATTTCAGTAAAAAAAAAAAATACTGGCATGTGACATTGTAACATGTACCAAACAAATAATAAATAAATAAATAAATAAATAAATAATAAATAGATGGAATATTATAACATACAGAATCCAACAAAATAATTGGTGGTGTTTCCATGTATCAAACCTGTTAAAAAATGTTAAGTAGACATAGTATATTCCAGCAGCACCACTCAAATATAGAACATGAGCAAACTGTCATAATCATTGTCATGTTAATTCATTACAAAAATATGTATCGGGACTTCTTAGGAATTTCTGAGGCAGGTTGTTTGCACAGTTGTGTTTAAGCTGCTGTATTCTTTATTCTTTTCCTTCTCTCTTGTTCTTCTGCCATTTCTCTGAAATCTCTTATTGATAACTAGAAAATAAAACAAAGAAAACTGAAACAAATATTCTCTTTGCATTTCTCAGGCAGTTCTTAGCTTTCAGTCCATTTTGCCTTCAGTTAATGCCAAGCTGGTTCAGGTGTGAATGACATACATCCCAACTTTCCAAGATAAGCATCTATTGATGTAAATTCCTATAGGGTTTAGCTTATTTGATTGGGTGATAGGTGTCTGCTATGGCTCTTTTGATAATTTAAAAAGGGTCTATCTGCATCCATAGGTGCCCAAATACCTTGGAAAATCTGACCAACATAACCAGTGGAACTTTCTGTGCATAATTACAATAGAGTTACTCATATGATCAGAACTATAGAGGTACTTGCAAGCTTTACAAAAATAATTCTGTGTTCAAAGGGATTTGGGTCTTGTTCAGCTCAAACAGGTTCAAAAGTTTAAAAATGTATGCTCTTTTAAAAATTATTCAGCAGCCTCTATTCATGTCAGAATCATCAGTACTATATCTTGATCCTGTTTTCAAAATACAGCAGTGTTAATTGGAAAAAGATTATTTCCATTTTTAATATAGTCTCCATTTTCTCACACTAATTCATTCTGCTAATATAATCTGACCCTGTTTTGACATCATCAGAGTTTGAACTCAGAACCCAAAGTGACTCATAAGCCTCTTATATAGACTACTCACTAGAAAAAGACAAAGATACACACTGCTAGTTTAGGTTATATTAGCAATAGCCAACTATTCAAGTACTTCAGTATAAGTAAGTAGATAGGTAGAAAGCTGATTCACTAACTGTAAACTCAAGAGTAGTATTTCCATCTTATTCTAAACGGATCTTAATTATTTTTTATATGAGAAGGCTAGATTATGCTGGAGAATATAATTGTATATAGCTGTTCCTTCCCACTTAAACAGGCTGTGTCTACACATGCACTTTACTGCAAAGTAGACTAATTAGCTGCAGAATAAAGGGTCATCATCTACATGTGTGACAGGATTAGGCTGCAGTAAACTAATTAACACTGTAATAAGATGGTACGGTTGGGGACAGTAGGTGCTGACCATGGGCATAAATTGTGCCTGGTCAGCCCAGCCAGCAGGGGGGCCAGACTCTTGCCTGCTGCCTAGCCACACAGCTCAGCATCCTTGTGCCCTAGGCGTCCCCAATGCTGGAGCCCTGGAGTCAACAGCTCCGCCCAGCTCAAATTGCTGCTGTCTCAGGTGCACTGCTCCAGAGTTTATTGCTTCAAATTAATTGCACATGTAGATGCACCCACAGTCTCATATGCCAGTGTAATAAATGCTGCCTTAAGCTATACCTGCATGGTAAAGACCAATCACTCCAAGATGAGTTGTAATATCGATCCCTGGCCTGGACGAAGATCTTGTCTGGGGTGCTAGTCTCTGGGAGATTCATAAAATATTCATCAGCATCATAAAACTGTGAAAAAAACACAACCTATTAGACCAACAGGCAGAACATGTTCAAATATAAAATTGTTTGTAGTTCTAATGAGCACAAAGAGCATATAACCATGTCTGTTTTACAACGACATTGAAGAGCTACCAATTCAACAAACTCCTTGTAATCTAGGGGTGCTCAAAGCCTCTAGTAATCTTTTTTCCTGAAAAGATTAAAAGTGAAAATGTGCTTATATTAGTGTGATCAAAGCAAAAACTGCATCTTTCAGTGTGTGAAATATTAGAGGTAAAATTAAAAAATGGTCTTAAAAATGCTCTGCTCTATAATCTGAGTTTCCTGTGGTGGGTGTGGTGACTACAAGAGGCATTGCTAAGGGTGGCACGGAAATGTGGATCTTCAATAGGAACTTTACTCCTGTCAAAGAGCCAGCACTAATGAGATACCGCCATCTGCTGGTATGAACTTCCTTAGTTACTGCCCAGGATGGAGATTAAGCAGATCCAATTATTTTTCTACTTCTTCTACTGACTTCTTGTGTCACTCTGGGAATGTTGTTCTTAAACTCACACAGATGCAGAAATGGAAACAAATCTATTCTGTGATTTTAAATTAATGTTAATTAATAATGTGCTGCTGGATATTGGGAAGTAGCTGACAAAAAGTAAAGTAGCCTCCAGCCTCTATGGCTGGGGAACATGAATCACTGTTTTTGATTTGCCGAAGCACCTGTATAGAAAACTGAGCTATCCTTGTGCAACTAACTCAAACAATTCAATGAAAAATTATTTAGGCTTCTTGTTCCCTTGCTGTCGAAATGTTGTGGATTTCCCCAGCCCCAGCCTCTGCCTGATTGCCTTTTACTCATCACTCATTACCAAGATCCGCTCTTCTCTTGTGATGGAGAGAAAATAAGATCAGCTTGGTACAACCTTAAAGTAGAGCACTCACAGTATAACTTCGTCTCTCAAAGATATCCCTAAAATTTACCCTAATGTTTGAAAAAATAAGAAAGATATAACAAACATTTTATCTTTCATATGATTCACTGGGTGAGGTAATTTCTGTTCTCAGTGAAACTGGTCAAATGAAGATCAGAGTAACAACTTCTAGAGGCCTCAACTAGGATGGAACCTTTACAGACACTACAAAGACATAAGTAAATGAGACACCATGCCTCAGAAAGAGTTTACAACTTCACAACTGAGTCAAACAAGGGAAACTGAATGGGTAAAATAGGAAGATAGAGGGTAAAATAGGAAGATATAGCAGAGATCATGTGATAGTATAGAATTTTAATGTCATAACATCTTCTAAGCTACAACAACATGCCTGAGATCCATAATTAATGCTTATGGTCTTTTTTGAGGGGTGGGTAGAAAGGGATTACATCAATAAATACTAATAGTATGCTACATTAAATCACTGTCTTTCACAGCAGCAGTTCTCAAGATGCCTTCTGAACTACAAACTCGCCTATCCTATTCAGGCAAAACTCCTTATAAGTTATTAGGAAATTGACCTGACTAGGACAGGGGTTTACATCAGAGATAGCTCTAAGAATTACAGATCCCACCCATGAAATACTGAGACTGATCTGTCTCCAGTACTTCATCCATTTTGCTTGGATACCCCTGTCTAGAAGAACTGGGAACTGAGTCAGTTCTGAAAAGGCAGCATCTGACAACATTTTGGTGCAGGGAGCAATTTTTTATTCTTTTCCTGTACAGAACCTAATACAATGTAGGGTCCTGGTCTGTGAGTGGGCTTATAGGTACTACAGGAGTACAGATAATAAAAAATAGACTATAATCAAGAGCAACAAGAACTCCTGGCCTCACCTCCACTTTGTTTGTGTGTTTTTTTGCAGATTCAGTTTTGACTCTAAACGTCAAAGGGAAGTAAGACTCTGGTGTACTCCATGTTTTAGGGTATTTCCAAGTCACTTTGTTGTCTTTGGCTAGATACTGACACTGAGGAGGATCAGGTCTTACTGAAAGAGAAAATAAAGACACCATTAGCGTTGTGTGAACGTACAGTTTTAATATTGCTATTGCAAGAGATGCCATTAAACAGCTTTGGCAGCATATTAGGTTAGGTTAAGCATATGCTTGAGGTTTAAGGTATTGAGGTATTTTACTCTCCCATGGAAGTGGGATCGCTCTCACTACACTACCTTGGTAAGAGTCCTTCAAAGGTTGAGGGACTGTGAGGGCTGAGGCAGGAATATTACTACCATGTAATATTAACTTGGAGAGCTGTACTTCTCAGCCAATTTCTTTCTGTCTCTGCTCTATGCCTGCCCATTCGTGTCCTTTCCAGTGGAGTCCCTACCACAGTATGTAAAGGACAAGAGGGAATTCTGAGAAACCAGGGAGTGGGAAACTTGCTTCTCCACTTCCTCCCCTTCTTCCTGATTTTACTTTCCTCTATTCCTGTAAATGGGGGACTGCAAAAAACCTAGAATACAGCTACAGTGTACTAGTAATGAATCCCTTTGAGCTTCACAGGAAGAATCCTCTGAGCATATATGGCACACTCTGGCACTACCGGGATGATTTGAGAACCTTCATGGCCTGCTGTCTATACCAAGACTTTACTGTGAATAAATTGAAAGCTTCAGGCTTCAGAGCCATTGATCCAGTATGTGTAACAATTATTGAATTCAATAAGCATATATACAGTGAATTAAAAATTAAAAAACTGCCTTGCAATTCACTCACTGATATCTCTAATGAAGAAGCTGGTGGAACAGTTTTCATATTCTATATCATCAATAACCTCCAGGAACATTTCAATGGGCTGGTGTTCCTCAGCAAAGGGGCAGTGGTTTTCTTTCTGGCACTGGGATGAATATACTGTCACTAATCCATTCTGATGAATCTCAGGGTTGCCACAGGTTACATCTCCTTCAGATCTGAATTAGGAACAGAGGGAAATAATGGAAATGCAACTGAGTTATAAGTGTAGTGATGTATAAGAATGCTGCAATGACCCCATCTCAGTGGATGAGATAATACTTTGTTGGCATATCTGTATGCCTCTACATCTGTGCGCCTCCACATCTTTCTGAAATGAGGCAATCGTGTCACTAGGGATTCTGGACATAGTTTGAGAATAGCATGTGACCTCATCTTCCTTATTGACACTGCTTAGGGGTACATTTGGCAGTCCTAATAGCTAATGCCACTCTTCAGCCCCTTTCCCAAACCTAGTTGGAAGAAATGAGTGAAGTGTTAATGGTTTCTATAAAAAATGAGGTAATAAAAATATGTGTTTTAATTGTTCTCTACATATAGAAAAAATAGAGCCTATAGTTATTTCCTGTTTAAGAAACATATATAACCAGGGCCACAGTACTCCATGTCTTAGAGAAACCCACAAGAAAGTGGTGGGAGGTAGGAAATCCCCAGAAGGTTCCCCTCACAGTATTTCCCTCATCAGTCCCTGCAGAGCATTCCCTCCATCGGGAGAAATGTGCACACGTGGAATTTGGAGTGGGCACAGCCTTCCAGGGTCACAGAGCCAGAAGATCTGCAGAAAAGGGACCCAGTGAGATGGCTTTTTTTATGTCTAGCCTGACCTTCCTCTCCTTGTTGTGTGCAAGAACCATCCTGCTACTGCCGGAGTCACTCTCTGGCTGCATGGCAGCAGCTCTATTTTTCTTATACTTCCAAGTCATATTAACTTCTAATAAGACTTTCATGAAGTAATCTAATAGGTCTACAAGAGACAGCATCTCAGTGTCAGGGAGGCTATAGGTGAGACGATGGAAGTGGTATTTATTCCTTCTGCTGCTCATGTGCTTTGTGGGCAGGTTATCTTTTCAGTATCTTTTCCACAAGCTGACCCAGAGAGGTGTTTTGACCTTATTACCCAAATGAGGTGGTTAAGGAAAGTACAAGCTTGTACCCTTTTAGATTCTTGATTGTGAAGTTCACATCTGGACTCTCCTTTTCTGTCATCCACCAGCATATGAAAATCCCTGAGTAATTATTTGCCTCACATTTTAGATAGGTTCTGTTTGGCTCTAGATTGAAAAAGAGAAGATGATATAGTTTTTTTCTTAAAAGAAGTCTGAATATTATGAAACAACAATAATTCAAGTCTACTGAAAGATATTGCCTCCTTTTTTAGGAACAACAGTGTGTAGCATATAACTCTTCAGTTGATAGGAAAGTATTGAGTGTCTGGAAGTTAACCTTGAGGATACACTGTTGTCGTTTTTTTCCCAGAACTTGTTTGCTTGTTTATAGGGTCTTGCTTTCCAGCATATTTCCCATTCAAAAAAATTACCACTTCCAAAGAAGTGGGAGTCTCTCATGTCTTTGATTATCTATCAAACGATTTAAAATGGAGGCATAGCTACCAATGTCTGCAAGGCCAGGTGGAAGCAGCAGCAGGGGCTGGGCCAGCTGCAACTTCCCTGGTGGCTCAGCCAGTGGCTGCCATTTGTGTGCCTCCTTTAAGTGGGTGCCCCAGGCTGGTGCCATGGTTGCCCACCCCTGTTACACTACTGGTTTACATTGCTACTTGTGATGCATTTCAAAGATGGATTTGTCATTCTCAGGACAGAACTCTAACTGAGAACAAAGGGGTTCTATATTTCAGGTAATGTTTAGTCAAGAAAAAGAAATTATATTCTGCTCTGTGAAATATAGCATTGTCCAGTGAGTTAAGCTGAGCCTAAATGACCGTTTTAATCCTGTCTCAATCACAGATTCAAGTCAAATCACATTAGCTATGCTTCATGAAGAGGAATTAGAGGCAAATCTTCAGTGATGTAGTTGAGCCTCAGTGACGTAGCTGAGCACTGACAGAGCAGAATTACCCTCCTCAGCAGTGTAACGGTGTGAGTGAGCACTGGATGATAATTTAGAAGGGCTTCCCAAATGGTGGCACCAGGGGAGCTTGCATTGTGGCAGCAAAAGTGTGTGCTGTGGCAGCAGCAACCCATGTACAAGGAGCCTGTGATGGCAGATGTGCAGTGATAAGGATTGTCATAATCCATCTTTTTCTGCAGATCATGCACAGTACTACTTTCCAGTGATCTCTCTTACTTTGCAATGTAGGACTCTGCTACAGCACACAATGAACACGGAAATAACATCCCACTGCCATATCCCCTTACCTTTAAAACTTTTCAGAATTGACTTGATCATTTGACCATTTGAATCTTTTTTAGTAATTAGAAGAAAGCTGTAGCTGAGGACCTCATGTGTATCAGTACTCTGACAGGTGTAGTTGCCAGCATCTGGGAGCTCCTGGACTTCAGTGATCAATGTCTTGCCATGTCCTCTTATTTCCATGTCCTTCATCCAGTAGACAGAAGTGGCTTGGTTGTCAGATACATTGCATGTAAGCTCCACATGTTTGGCTGGTGCCTCATCACTCCATTCGGACTCTATGACATAAACTGAACATTGCCAGGAAATACATGTTAGGCCTTACTCAAGCTCAAAGAACCGGTGAAATTAAAGTACAGGCCCAGCCCTGCTCTCCTTGAAACAGATAATAAAATTCACATTGGCTTCAATAACATGACAAATTCCCGTTGTTACTGGGAAGTCTTAAGTAAGGTTTAACCATAAATATAAAATGCATCCAAATCACTGGGATCATGAAGAATTATATGTTCACTTAAGAAGCAATATTGATTCAGGGATTTAAGACAGTTTTGTAAAGAGACATTAGTTCTGTGAAGTGGGAAAGCATCAATGTTTTACACAGATGGACACCAAGGACCATAGGACCTATTCATCCCTGCCTGCGTGTGGATCTGTCTTTATTCATAAAATGGGGAGTGAAACATCTCTACAGCACTGTGCTCCATCCTGGACTTTATGGAGATCCCTGTGCTGTGCCAAAATCTATGTTGGAGAAGGGTTAGGGGATAAGAGGAAAGAAAGTAATCAAGGAGCAAGGCTGCAGTGGTATGTATTGCTCTTTCTCATAACCCAAACATGACATTGCATTAATTTTCAGGAGAAGACTTCTGGATGCCCTGGCAGCATGGTCCCAGTCAACAGGGTCTTGGAGGAAGAGAATCCCAGAGTCACAGCAGCAGTACATGACTTCCAAAAGACAGACATGCCCTCTGTAACTCTCGGAGGCCCTTTGGCTGTTGCATATTGGGAGAAACTCCTTTTTATGAAATAATCTTGAAAGAGTCCACTAGTAGGAAGAGTCCTAATGTATTCCTAGTGTATTTTGTTCAGTTATTTGCCAAATAGTTTGGATGAATATGTTTCAAACTTTGGTCTGCCTGTCAGTCTTTTTTTCTTTCTTTTAAAAAGAAGTGTTCCTTTTGACTATTTGCTGTTCCTGGCTTACTTGTGGGTAGTTACCTAAGTCATAAGATATCATTTCTGCTTCCTGATTGCAAGACTGAAACTTTTCAAATGGGAGAAGAGTGAATAGGGAATAAGGCAGTTTCTAATGCAAATTATTAGATGAATAATCATGTTGCTAAAAGTCACAACATTTTTGATCTAATTTTTTTCATGAATACTCAACTGTCATCCAATTTCTCACACAAAAATAAGGACATGAGTCTATGAATTGTAGCTAGCCAAACTCTGAACTTTCCTTCATGAGCATACTTGTGAACATGTTTGTTTTTAACTATTCAACCAGCTGCAGCTTTCAGTAAATGAAAATGCTTACCATTTTCCCTCAGTTTCCATTTTGCTTCCAGAGGGATTGTAAAGGCAAATAAGGAAAGCAAGGTAAATACTAGATGAGCCATCTGTGGGAGAAACAAAAGGTTACACTCAGCCTGTTTTGGAAAAATTATATCCATTAATATTCTTGATTGAATGCTCTCAGTATACACAGCATTGTGCAGTATAATAGGAAGATGCAATGCATGCTTGCAGCCAATTGATCTGTTCTAAGTCCTTAGTCAAAAGAGATATTTGGCTAAGTTTAGTGGGCTTCTTCACATGTGTATGGTGAGCAAAGGTAACCAGTCATATTCTCAAAGCAAAGCTCTTGCCTAAGTACTTTGCTGCATCAGGATCTTATTCAGCGTTTCTTACTGTGGGTTTGCTTACACTTCAGTGGCAGTACATACCAGTGGGATGCTAACTAACAACATCCTGTCCAGCCCATCTCGCTCATTCCAAGCACAGAAATAAGGCAGCGAGGGTGCTCTGGGAAAGCCCTCTATGGCTGCTTCTGAGATCTCAGTCTCCAGTGTGCTTTAGAATAGTTATTTTTGGTGGGTACCTTTGTGTGTGCCCATGTATCCATGAACAGATCAAATACATTCCGTATTATGTCTAAAAGTATATAGTCTTAATATAACATGAATGAATGCTGGGGTCTTGTGAACCCAGCATTCTGTGGCAGGGGGTCAGGCTAGATGATCTGTTCAGGTCCCTCCAGACCCTAGCTACTTTGAAACTATGAAACATAGCTATAAATATATCTATTTCTCTCCATGTCTAGGTTCTTATATCAGTGCTCATCACATTTAGGGATGGTCAATATTCTTGCATAAAAACTACTTTGCTATGCAAACCCAGAATTTTGATTCAGTAATGTTTATTTTCAAGAGTCTGCTTTGCATGGAAAATATTGAGGTTTCATCAAAAATATGAAAAGCTTTAACACTGAATAGCTTGTCCTAGTTTTCAGGGGAGATGTTTTCAGGTTTGAAGTGTTTATGGAAAACAATTTTCTGTTGAAAGCTATTATTTTTTCATTTTTGTCAGAATTCTCATCAGAAAGAAATTCTATTGTGATCTACCCCGAACATATAGTATCTGAGCCTTCCATGCGATTTGTGTCGGCCATGGACCAGCATGTGTATGCCCTGGGCCATGAATGTGAATGTGTATTCTGGCCTATGGGCCATGGGCCAGAATATCATCTGAAGTAAATCAGCATGTCTGTATTGCCATCAATAGAGCTACACTAATTTATATCAGTTAAGAATCTGACCATATACATTTAACTCATCTCTGTGAACAGTATAAATATGAACATGTAATATATAATGTATCTTTCAATTCAGTTCAAACTATATTTTTAAAGATATACTGTATGTACATACCCCAGTTTACATAAGTATATAAACTACCCTTTTTAAGAAGAATCTAACAATAACTATCTTTATTTAAATAGACTTTCTTAGACATTTTACTTTAATTGGAGAGTAAGCTGAGAGATCTTTGGGTTTTTTGGGGCATGACTGTGTTTTATATAACTAGTACCCTTTGAAGTAATCTTTAACGTTTTTTCATGATCCAGCACAGAAACATTCAAATACAGAGAAATAAGAAGGATTTCTTACCTTTTCAAATAGAGCTTCAGAGCTGAAGTGGCTAGGAGTGTAGTCCTGTGGATCTGAAGAGAACTAGGTATTAGTCGCCTTTATATTTGTTAACTCTGAAAGTAAAGAGATACTTTTCTTTCACCGCAAACCACAGAATTGCATCACGTGGCTGAAGTTCCTTTTCCACATAGTGATAGAGTTAAAGTAAGAAAATAAGAAAACATTTGGGAGTCCCAGGTAAATTTGATGAGGAAATGAGAGAATGTTAATGACCTTTATGCCATGTCAGAGGCATTTCTTTTCCTGTTCTCATTCTTTGTCCCTCCTTCGTACACTGTCTGTTTATTCCAGTGAGGAAAACGCAGAGTTAAATAAACTTCCACCTGTTTCATAATCCTTCATATTCTGAAAAAAGAAAGAAAAGTATTAAAGACATGATAAAAATATTAAATAAATCCTAATTACCAAAGCTAATTTAAATCTACAGCTTAGTAATGGCAAGGGATCGTGATTTGGGATATTTGGTTTTTTGAGTATACAATCCAACAAAATTTTGTGTGAATCCCTGCCAAACTCAGCAAACACTTTAGTTGGAAAAAAAATTGGGAACAAAATTTGAAACAGTGAAACCTATTCATTTTGAAACTTTTAAAATGAAACATTTCATTTTTTTCCTTTTAAAATGAAGTTTTGTTAAAAAATGTATATAAGTTTGATACAAGTGTACAAGGTTAAAAAAAAGAGCTAAACCAATTTACATGGGGCTGAATGAAATGTTTTGCTTGTTCCAAGTCAAAATATTTGAGCAAAGTGGATTCTTTTGAGAAGAGAACGAAACTATCTTCAGGTATCTATCAGGTATTTAGAAACAGCCACTGTTACTATTACTATTCTTAGTACTACTGCTCCTAGACCTAGTGTTAGTCTGTATAGTAGGAGACAATGCCATGCTGTCTATGTTGACTTTACAGACTTCACCAGCTTTGCATGTGGAAGCTCTTAACCTGGAAGAAGAATATGCTTCTTATTACTGACATTAAAAAAACAGCAGGCAGTCCACTGTCATATGGACCATTTACTTGTTGTCATATATTTTGTGGGAATCATGGTAGAGGTAACTTCTGGGTGGATAATTCAGTGGCTTTCACATGGCTGACACTTTATGCACAACCATCAGACCTATGTTACCACATTATTGATTCCAGACTTTACTCTGCCAGAGTTGACAGCCTTCATCATCTGATTCTCCACTTCTCCACTGAGCGCCAGAGCTGGTCCTCTCCTACCCTCTTTCATAATTGAAGAGGATCCTGGCTGAATCTGCAAAACATCATCTCATTCAGATTAACACTTACCACTCACCATTGTCCTAATAAGTACAACTGTTATGATATATGCAACATGCTAAGAACTGAACAAATAGAGAGCTGTGATCAGTGTAAGATATCAACACTCTATTATATATATATATAATATATATATATATAATACTTTTTCTACCACACCCTGTCTCAACCTGCTTTCTTGCACTATCCATCATACTTTTTCATTTAGACTGTAAATTCTTTGGAGCACTGATATATATGTAAAGCTCTTAGCATAATCAAATCTAGTCTGACTGTAATTTTTACTGGCAGTTCAAAAATTAAATTTGGAATGATAATTGTTAATAGTAATGAAAGCCTATGTACAGAATGTATATTCTGTACGTACATAAGTACATAGGGCACATGGATGCCCTACATACATACACATTACAGAACAAACAGTGTCATATTTACATCAAGAATCCTGGATACAATTGTGAAGTACAGATAGATCTGCATGGAACTTCCATGCTGGATAGTTTGCTATGATCCATCAGAGTGGAATTTTCAAATATGAAAACACAGCTATTGTGAAAATGGCTCTTGATGACAATCTGGTTTTCCATTATGATCTCATATATTCTTAAGGGGAAATTTAGAAGACAGACGACTCTCCAATTATTTTATCCCACTTCCCTATGACAGTGAAAGAGAGAATGGTGGAAGCTCTAAGTGAGTCTGTTTTGCTTTCCAGTAAAACATTCAATTTGGCACAAAAGCCCTACAAAAATATAGTCATTCCAGTATTTCTATTGAAAATTATGAGTGGTGGACTGAAAAACAGTTTCTGTTACTTTGGAGGTCTGAAGAATTTTGATTTCACTCTAATGTTTAGGGTGAAATAAATATTTTATTATGATCCAAAAAGAAAAAAAAAAGATTTGTATAATACTAATAAGTTGATTAAGTATAACAGAGATCACAGCACCACAAAATGGAAATGGAGAAATGTAGGTTCTCATTAGAAATATGCTCTTTTTAAGAACATTTCCCTCATTTCCTTAAGTGGACTGCTTTAAAGGCTTTCTTTTACACATACGATTTCCCTGTCTGTGAAGTTTGACTGCTCAGCAGACAACTTTAGCCAGTTCTTCAAAGAGATCATAATTGTTAGAAGCATTCCTTTCATTCAATCTAGCAGTCATTACCCGACAGTAGCTAAAAAAAGTGGTCATTGGTAACAAAGCATTTCACATTTCCACTGTATAAAACAGCCTAGGTATCATTATTCCATAATAGGACAACCATGGTATGTGTGACATCCTATTCTTTCTTGGTTGTCTCAATATCTAGTTTTGGTCATCTCTGTGGTTGTCTCAGTCCCAAAAATGCCAATCGCGTGTAGGTTGGAATTCTGTTCCTGGCCATGTAGTCCTGCCCACATGAACAACTATGTGCATACCTGAACTGAGTATATGCCCTGGCAACAAAGTGAGGGAGACCAACTTCAAAAGGAGCACTAGAGAAAAGGCTAGATAATGGCTGACTTGTAGTATGGTGGTTAAAGTTTTGTGCTAAGAAGTTGGAGACACCCAGGTTCAAAGCACCTGTGGGCAAGAGGGCCTAAAATCCAGATCTTTCGGCTTCCCAGGTGACTTCCCCAGCCACAGAGCTATGGGGAAGGGGAGGCACACAAGCAATGCATTCTCTGCTCCTGAGTCTAAGTCTGGTAGTCATGAATTTTGGCTCTTCACATGGGGCATACATATGTTCCCCAGCCAGTACTGCGTGTGTCCAGTCCGCATGATTACACCTCCAGAAACCCCCCATCTACACCCCAAAAAACAACCTATGCATATGTAAGTAGCATTTCTGGCACTTAGATAACAAAAATGTTATGCAGACAACCAAAATGGATGCTTAGATGACCAGCAAGGAACTATATAATATCACCATACTTATCACAAACACATACAGAGTGTGATTTGAAATTTCACTCCTCCCCATGGCACAGCAGCAGCAGGCGATTTGCTGGTGCCTGGCTCTGGCCAGAACTGCACATCGCAGCAAGGGGTGCAGCCCTCACCAGGCAGTCTATTGCTGGTGCTCCCTGCACTGGCAAGGCATGGGAGGGAAGCCCCAGGTGCTGGAGCTGGCTGGGGCAGGGAAGGCAGCTTGCTTCAGTGCACGGGGCTTCCCTCCCATGCTGTGTGAGTGGGGGGACTGCCAGCAATACAGATGGCTTGGTGGAGGCTGCATCCCTTGCTGCGACATGCAGCTCTGGTCCGAGGCAGGCACCAGTGCCCCAAGCACTCCCACTGCTGTTGCTGCCAGGGCTGCGCTCCATGGGTGGGTGTGTGGGAGGGTTCCCTACACCCCAACACTCTCCCTCATACCCACATGCTCCAAATTGAATCAGAGGACCCTTTAACCTTGCTAAATTGAATTGGAACCCTCTGAATCAATTCAGAGAAATTTGGAAAGATTCAGAAATTTGGACATAGAGACAGCATTAAATGTTTTTTCTACATACCTCGAGGTAGCAGGGGCTTGTGAGTGCTGTGATGCTGGGGCACATGGAGTGTCCCACAGATGCACGGGGGGATCCCCAGAATGCTTGGCAGCAGACCCAGAAGTGGACCAGAAGTAGACCCGGCACTTCTGATGCACTCAGCAGCAGACCTGGAAGTGGACCCAGCACTTCCAGGTCCGCCAGGAAGCACACCAGGGCCCCCCCACATGCTCCCACAGCTTGACAGCTGGTGCCTCCTGGGTCTTGGGGGGCACCTGGGGTCCCTCTGTGGCTGATCGCTGAGCCAGGGTGGCATGGGGGGGCCCCCTCTGCACGCTCCCCAGCAAATCTGGAAGTGCACTGGAAGTACTTTCCAGGTTCCAGGTTCACCACTGAGCATGTGGAGGGACCCCCGCACTCCTGTGGGATACTCCATGCACCACAGCATCGCAGTGTTCATGAGCCACATCTGCTACGTCAAGGTACGCAGAAAAAATTTTTAAAGCTGTGTCTGTGTCCAGATCGCTGATTCTCTGAATCAGCATCAAATTTTCAGATTCGGATTTGGCCAAATCAAATCAGGGACAGTGATCTGAATCAACGAATTGATTTACTGTCCCTGATTTGGGCCGAATCTGAATCGGACTTGAATAGGGCCCGCTTCACACGCTCCTACTGGCAGGGGTCAATAGAGCTGAGCTGGGCTGGACTACACCAGCAGGAAGAGAGGGGAGCTAGCTTAGCTCCATAGAGACCCTGCTGGCTGAGA